CTAACATCCCATATCATAAAAATCTTTGAAAGGGTCCTAAGAAGCAAGATCACCACCCATCTAGAAACCCATCAGTTACACAACCCAGGGCAACATGGGTTTAGAACAGGTCGCTCCTGTCTGTCTCAACTATTGGATCACCACGACAAGGTCCTAAATGCACTAGAAGACAAAAAGAATGCAGATGTAATATATACAGACTTTGCAAAAGCCTTCGACAAGTGTGACCATGGCGTAATAGCGCACAAAATGCGTGCTAAAGGAATAACAGGAAAAGTCGGTCGATGGATCTATAATTTCCTCACTAACAGAACACAGAGAGTAGTCGTCAACAGAGTAAAGTCCGAGGCAGCTACGGTGAAAAGCTCTGTTCCACAAGGCACAGTACTCGCTCCCATCTTGTTCCTCATCCTCATATCCGACATAAACAAGGATGTCAGCCACAGCACCGTCTTCCTTTGCAGATGACACCCGAATCTGCATGACAGTGTCTTCCATTGCAGACACCACAAGGCTCCAGGCGGACATCAACCAAATCTTTCAGTGGGCTGCAGAAAACAATATGAAGTTCAACGATGAGAAATTTCAATTACTCAGATATGGTAAACACGAGGAAATTAAATCTTCATCAGAGTACAAAACAAATTCTGGCTATAAAATAGAGCGAAACACCAACGTCAAAGACCTGGGAGTGATCATGTCGGAGGATCTCACCTTCAAGGACCATAACATTGTATCAATCGCATCTGCTAGAAAAATGACAGGATGGATAATGAGAACCTTCAAAACTAGGGAGGCCAAGCCCATGATGACACTCTTCAGGTCACTTGTTCTATCTAGGCTGGAATATTGCTGCACACTAACAGCACCTTTCAAGGCAGGTGAAATTGCTGACCTAGAAAATGTAGAGAGAACCTTCACGGCGCGCATAACGGAGTTAAAACACCTCAATTACTGGGAGCGCTTGAGGTTCCTAAACCTGTATTCCCTGGAACGCAGGCGGGAGAGATACATGATTATATACACCTGGAAAATCCTAGAGGGACTAGTACCGAACTTGCACACGAAAATCACTCACTACGAAAGCAAAAGACTTGGCAGACGATGCAACATCCCCCCAATGAAAAGCAGGGGTGTCACTAGCACGTTAAGAGACCATACAATAAGTGTCAGGGGCCCGAGACTGTTCAACTGCCTCCCAGCATACATAAGGGGGATTACCAACAGACCCCTGGCAGTCTTCAAGCTGGCACTGGACAAGCACCTAAAGTCGGTTCCTGACCAGCCGGGCTGTGGCTCGTACGTTGGTTTGTGTGTGATGTATGGCAGGTTAACAATCTTGTGTGATGACGTATGGCAGGTTAACCATGCTGTGTGATGATGTATGGCAGGTTAACCATCCTGTGTGATGATGTATGGTAAGTTAACCATCCTGTGTGGTAGATTATCAATTTTTTAAATTAACCTTGTAAAATGTTAGATAGATCATGGTAGCCACACATTAAGGACCACAATGGAAGTAAGTCATTAGAGGGTAATTTACACTATGTATGATAATTGTACATATTACTTGTATATTTCTACCATGAGTCTACTATGGTTCTACCATGATAAGATAAGATTTCTTCGGATTTTTAACCCCGGAGGGTTAGCCACCCAGGATAACCCGAGAAAGTCAGTACGTCATCGAGAACTAACTTATTTCCATTGTGGTCTTCAAACGCGTCCCCCAGGATGCCACCCACACCAGTCCACTAACACCCAGGTACCTACTTACTGCTAGGTGAACAGGACAACAGGTGTAAGGAAACACGTCGAAATGTTTCTACCCCGCCGGGAATCGAACCCGGACCTTCCGTGTGCGAAGCGAGAGCTTTGCCAGCCAGGCCACCATGGTAAATGTTGCATGGTATACATTATTATGATCTCACGCTCAACTATAAATCCGGATTACATCCATAAAAACAACACTAGTTCTCTAAGACGAATCCGGATTACACCCATAAAACAATACTAGTTTTCAGAGGTGAATCTGGATTATTAGTAAGTAATTAAGTTTATTCAGGTATACACAAATACGGTTACATAGATTATCATACATAACAGGATATGTATAGAGAACCTGGCAGGTGGCCAGGTGGTTAAAGCTCCCGCTTCACACACGGAGAGCCCGGGTTCGATTCCCGGCGGGTGGAAACATTTCGATGTGTTTCCTTGCACCTGTTGTCCTGTTCACCTAGTAGGTACCTGAGTGTTAGTCGACTGGTGTGGGTCGCATCCTGGGGGACAAGATTAAGGACCCCAATGGAAATAAGTTAGACAGTCCTCGATGACGCACTGACTTTCTTGGGTTATCCTGGGTGGCTAACCCTCCGGGGTTAAAAATCCGAACGAAATCTTATCTTATCTTATCTCTTCTTGAACTGGTTCATGTTATGACTGGCCTTGACATGTGCGGGCAGTCTGTTCCATTCCTTTATTACTGTACAATAAAAGATGTTTGAAGCCTGGCCACTGACTGTGGCTACTACAAAGTTGTGCTCTCTCTCCCTAGTACTATGATTACTTTGGTTCTCAACCTTGACAAAATTGACACCAAGATATTCTGGACATTGTTTGTGAGCAATTTTATAAACATGATTTATCTTCAGTTGTTTTACTCTGTCTTCAACATTCAGCATATCCAACTGTTGTAATTCATCCTGGCCTACATGTTCTCTTGGTCCCAGGTCCAGGGTAAATCGTACTACTTTGTTCTGGGTGATTTGCAGTCTATCTCTCAGTTTTTTTGTCAAGGCAGAGTACCATGAAGAGCAAGCGTATATCCATAAAAATTATTCTCTGAGACGAATCCGGATTACATCAAGAACAAAAGTTCCTTAATATGAATCCGGATTACATCCAGAACATAAGTTCTTTAAGATGAATCCGGATTACATCCAGAACTTAAGTTCTTTAAGATGAATCCGGATTACATCCAGAACAACAACACACATGGTGTTCTTTAAGATAAATCCAGATTGCTTCAGATAGAAGTTGTTATTACGTAATGTTTGTGTATTCTTGTGAAGTAACATCAGTGGTGGTGAAGTAACATCAGTGGTGGTGAAGTAACATCAGTGGTGGTGAAGTAACATCAGTGGTGGTGAAGTAACATCAGTGGTGGTGAAGTAACATCAGTGGTGGTGAAGTAACATCAGTGGTGGTGAAGTAACATCAGTGGTGGTGAAGTAACATCAGTGGTGGTGAAGTAACAGCAGTGGGGATGAAGTAACATCAGTGGTGGTGAAGTAACATCAGTGGTGGTGAAGTAACAACAGTGGGGTGAAGTAACACAGTGGTGGTGAAGTAACATCATGTGGTGGTGAAGTAACATCAGTGGTGGTAGTAAGTAACATCAGTGGTGGTGAAGTAACATCAGTGGTGGTGAAGTAACATCAGTGGTGGTGAAGTAACATCAGTGGTGGTGAAGTAACATCAGTGGTGGTGAAGTAACATCAGTGGTGGTGAAGTAACATCGGTGGTGGTGAAGTAACATCAGTGGTGGTGAAGTAACAGCAGTGGTGGTGAAGTAACAGCAGTGGTGGTGAAGTAACAGCAGTGGTGGTGAAGTAACATCAATGGTGGTGAAGTAACAGCAGTGGTGGTGAGAAGTAACATCATTGGTGGTGAAGTAGCATCAATTGTGGTGAAGTAACAGCAATGGTGGTGAAGTAACAGCAGTGGTGGTGAAGTAACAGCAGTGGTGGTGAAGTAACATCAATGGTGGTGAAGTAACAGCAGTGGTGGTGAGAAGTAACATCATTGGTGGTGAAGTAGCATCAATTGTGGTGAAGTAACAGCAATGGTGGTGAAGTAACAGCAATGGTGGTGAAGTAACATCAGTGGTGGTGAAGTAACATCAATGGTGGTGAAGTAACAGCAGTGGTGGTGAGAAGTAACATCATTGGTGGTGAAGTAACATCAATTGTGGTGAAGTAACAGCATATGGTGGTTGAAGTAACAGCAGTGGTGGTGAAGTAAACAGCAGTGGTGGTGAAGTAACAATCAATGGTGGTGAAGTAACAGCAGTGGTGGTGAGAAGTAACATCATTGGTGGTGAAGTAGCATCAATTGTGGTGAAGTAACAGCAATGGTGGTGAAGTAACAGCAATGGTGGTGAAGTAACAGCAGTGGTGGTGAGAAGTAACATCATTGGTGGTGAAGTAACATCAATTGTGGTGAAGTAACATCAGTGGTGGTGAAGTAACAGCAGTGGTGGTGAACAGCAGTGGTGGTGAAGCAACATCAGTGGTGGTGAAGTAACAGCAGTGGTGGTGAAGTAACAGCAGTGGTGGTGAAGTAACATCAATGGTCATGAAGTAACATCAGTGGTGGTGAAGTAACAGCAGTGGTGGTGAAGTAACATAATTGGTGGTGAAGTAACATCAGTTGTGGTGAAGTAACGTCAGTGGTGGTGAAGTAACATCAGTGGTGGTGAAGTAAACACAGTGGTGGTGAAGTAACACAGTGGTGGTGAAGTAACATCGGTGGTGGTGAAGTAACAGGGGAGTAGGTGGTGAAGTAACACAGTGGTGGTGAAGTAACATCAGTGGTGGTGAAGTAACATCAGTGGTGGTGAAGTAACAGCAGTGGTGGTGAAGTAACAGCAGTGGTGGTGAAGTAACAGCAGTGGTGGTGAAGTAATCATGTTTAAATTGGTGGTGAAGCAACATCAGTTGTGGTGAAGTAACAGCAGTGGTGGTGAAGTAACAGCAGTGGTGGTGAAGTAACATCAGTGGTGGTGAAGTAACATCAGTGGTGGTGAACAGCAGTGGTGGTGAAGTAACATCAGTGGTGGTGAAGTCACACAGTGGTGGTGAGTAACACAGTGGTGGTGATGCAACACAGTGGTGGTTGAAGTAACATCAGTGGTGGTGAAGCAACACTGTGGTGGTGAAGCAACATCTGTGGTGGTGAAGCAACACTGTGGTGGTGAACAAGCATGTGGTGGTAAGCAACATCAGTGGTGGTGAAGCAACATCAGTGGTGGTGAAGTAACATCAGTGGTGGTGAAGCAACATCAGTGGTGGTGAAGTAACATCAGTGGTGGTGAAGCAACATCAGTGGTGGTGAAGCAACACCTGTGGTGGTGAAGCAACATCAGTGGTGGTGAAGCAACACCTGTGGTGGTGAAGCAACACCTGTGGTGGTGAAGCAACACCTGTGGTGGTGAAGTAACATCAGTGGTGGTGAAGCAACATCAGTGGTGGTGAAGCAACATCAGTGGTGGTGAAGCAACACCTGTGGTGGTGAAGCAACATCAGTGGTGGTGAAGCAACACCTGTGGTGGTGAAGCAACATCAGTGGTGGTGAAGCAACACCTGTGGTGGTGATGGCCACACTACATCTCACATGTACACTTCATAACTCTGTACACTGAGGTCTGTATACTCTCACTCACTCTCATATTGTTTTTCCTCGTTACTCTTTTGTTCCCACTTTTTTTATCATACTCTCTTCCTCATACTCATACTCAGTCTGTACTCCTAATTCTTCATTCCTCTCCCTCCCTCACTGTCTCCTTCATACTATATCTCTCATATTCTCTCTCCCTTATACAGTCTCTCCCTCATACTATCTACCGCTCATACTATCTACCCTTTACACTATCTACTCATACTATCTCCTTGTACAGTCTCTCCCTCATCCTATCTTTCCCTTCATACTAACTCTCCCTCATTCTCTCTCTCATACTCATTAATAGTAGTATGTCTCTTCATCAGTTTCCTGTGATAGCTGAACTCTCCGTTCATCCTGTGTGTCTGTGAGTCACCATCCTCGCTTCTCTCTGACTTGTGTATACTTTTGTGAGTAATGATAACTGGTAATTGTGGTCATTGCAAGTAAGGGTGATAGACGACCACTCCGAGGTGGATTTCCACCTTCAGTTATGGTAGCCACCAAAACTGATAATTTTTTATCCAGTTCAGAAACCAAATTGGTTGTTTTAAGCAAACTTTGATGCTCTGATTGCAAACCTGTTTAGTCTCTATTGTGTATTATTTTTTAAATCTTACAATCAATATTTTAGCTATTTAAGGTTGAACCACATGAAATGTGTTACCTAACAATCAGAGGTACACACTTACACACTTACTCACCTATGTACTCCCACATCATAACTGAAACAATCACATTGAACCTTTTATCCATTGTTGACAGGAATATAATTGAATCATTGTTTTCACAACAAGCATTTTCGAATATAAATATATCTTTGTATTGTACAAATTTTGATTCATTTATAATTAATATTCTACTGTACAACTATGATATACTCCTTAGTGTTAAGTAGGCTGTAAGCCAATAATGTTAAGTTGGCCCATAATGCCTAGGCATAATAGAGGCTCTCTTTGTATTGCAACCCATTATTGTAAATACAAAATCTCAATGTACTCTTTGCAAAGACATAAAATAAATAAATAAATAAATGATGAAAACTAATCTTTCTTAACTTTGTTTCACTAGGCATATATTCATAGCAGCAATAATAGAAATTTCCATATAGTTATATAAATATATTTTTTTTGTATGAGAGGCACAATATAGGGACATAATTGAAAAATAATCCATTAATATTTTTGTTGGGGTTTTCCTTGGTTATTTTATCCTATTTTTTCTGTTATATGCTCTACCTACTCTAAACCCCAACCCCTATCCTCACACTGTTAACCTTCCCTCTTTTCTCTTTTGTTTTTTCCACTCTCCCTCCCCCACCTTTTTTCACCTCTCTTCCTTCACCACTCCCTTCCCTTTTTTCCTTCCATTCCCTTCTCTTTTCCCTCTAGCCATTTCTCCCAATTTTGTCCTTCCCATCTCTCCCAGTTTTTCCCTCCCTATTTCTTCCAGTTTTCCCCTCCTTCTTCTCTCCCTTCACCTCCCCAATATCCGATACTAATACAAAGTTCATGTTGACTTTTCTCTGCAGACACTATGAGTGACCCAACTCCATACAGGCACCAGGTCGGTGGCTGGCACAAGGGTATCCAGTCATGTAAGTCAGCTCATCTGCCATGCAGGTTTAAGTAATTATAACCTTTAACTCTTGTAAGTGCTGTAAGTGCAGTGCCTGCACTCTGAAGGAGGGGTGTTAATGTTGCAGTTTTATAACTGTAGTGTAAGTGCACCTCTGACAAGACAGTGATTGAGTGAATGATGAAAGTTTTTACTCTTTTGAGCCACCCTACCTTGGTATGAAACGGCCGATGTGTTAATAAAAAATAAAAATTGCCGTAAATCTGTTGAGAGCAAAGACAGTGCAGATCAGGAAGGTCAGTCTCTGTACATAATGTGAGGTTTAATTGCTTTATATAGCACCAGTGTGGACATTTTTACTTTGGAATGTAATAGTTCTCTTTAAATTATTTATCCCAAATGGTTGATAATCCAAACTAGCCCTTCTTGACCCTTCCAAACTAGCCCTTCCTGACCCTTCCAAACTAGCCCTTTCTGACTCTTCCAAGCTAGCCCTTCCTGACCCTTCCAAACTAGCACATCCTACCTTTCTAAATTAGCACTTCTTCCAAACTTGCCCTTCCTACCCTTCCCAACTAGCCCTTCCTACCCCTCCAAACTAGCACTTCCTACCCTTCCCAACTAGCACTTCCTACCCTTCCCAACTAGCACTTCCTGGGTGAGTTAAGAAATAGCTCAGACCTTATCATCTACTTTTACACCACAGAAGAGCAATGTAGGACCCTTGTGGGTTTAGTGCTTAGTGTTTTATTGTAAAAATAACAATACACCACAGAAGACAATACAAATATTGATAAAACTCCTCTGTTTTCAGGTGTACTTAAAGATAAGGAAGGTTTAATCCTTAAACCGCTCAAGCTAAATGCTAATCCCACCTATGGCCAAAAGGACTCAAACCCAATGCCTAGAAGTTCAACTAGTGACTCCAGGAAGGACTCTGATGAAGGTTGGTCAGATGATTTACATACAAATCACTTGATTTTTCAGTGTTTTATTCATGCTATTGTAACATTTGTTTATGTTGATGGGTAGTTTCTTGATTAATTGGTGTAGATAAATGGTTCAGAAAACCGACAAGTTGATAAATTTGACACGTGCAGCACTTGGGTATCTGTATTATGGAGATGTTTTGCTACACACTGGCTTCACCAATGATTAGTTAGTAATGTCAGGACCTGAGTTATAGGTCCCAGTTTATAGTCTTTTGCAACTTGGTATAGCCAGCAAGTGTTAATTGTATTCATTACTACATTACTTGTGTATTTATATAATAAAATTATATTACATAATAAGATTAGTCATGAATTATAGCACTGTAATATTGTCTAAGGTCATCTACTAATTGGGATGCCTAGATCACTGGGTACTTGTCTCTCCTCCAGGTCATAGCCATTACAAGGCAATACTGAAGTGTATTGCCATACTCTCTAGGGTTTGCATTGAGGAGTCTCTGAACGGTTGAATGTTTGGACACTGTAAATCACGACTAATCTTATCTTATTATGTAAATAGTGAATTTTTGTGAGAAATCACAAAAGTGCTTGGAAATTCACTATTATTTTAGTGATTATTTTTTCATATTGTTAGGTAAAAGGACACAAGTGCAACTAATGTAACATTTTATTGTGGCAACGTTTCGCTCTCCAGGAGCTTAATCAAGAAATTTTTTCATATTGTAATATCCATAAAATATACAAAGCCTTAAGATCTTAATTGTGCATGCAAACCCACATAGAGAAAATGATCAGTGTTTATTAGACTTGAGTATTTGGATTAACATCTTTATGTAAGCTTTGTGGCCATGATTTGCTGTACGTATTTTTTTTTCCAGAGCTCAACCCAGTTTGTAAAGATGAGCTGGAGTTCTACCAGCACTTGCAGACCTCCAGTAGCCAGGAAGATGTAATGCTCAAGTCTCTTGTACCCAGATTTTTTGGAAGCCGTGAAGTTGTTGTGGAAGATGGTACAGGTGTGTTGAGTGTGGTGTTGGAGTATGGTGGGGTGGGGATGCATTTTGGAAGTCATTATTGAATGACAAATTGCAATATAATGCTTAATGAGACAAATTACATGGTAGTGGGCTAGGTGTACCATGGTAATGTAATGGGTTTGGTGCAGTATGCTACAGTACTGGGCTGGGCATGACATGGTAAACATTTTTGAACTATGATATATGAATTATCCAAAGTACTGTTAAATTAATTACTTCTAAGCTTAATTCAACAATATTTCCATTTCATCGTCTTAAAAAATTAAATAAAAAACTTTACCCCTCTACTCCAGCTCTGTACTCTCTAAGCACAAATTCTAAATTAAGTTTATTTTTAAAAGAACCAGATATCAAAGAACCTGATTAACATCTCAGTACTTGAGTCCTAGAGGTGGGAAGTACAGTGCCTGCACTCTGGGGGTGGGGATATGTTTCAGTTTTTTAACTGTAGTATCGGATTACCTCTGGCAAGAGACGGTGATGGAGTGAGTGATGATGAAAGTGTTTCTCCTTTTTCAGATCACCCCCGCCTCAGTGGGAAATGGCCGATGTGTTAAAAAAAAAATTATAAATGTTATATTATATTTGAGGTTATGTCTGATTAGTTTTACATTGTTTTTGAGGATCGAATCTTGTGTATTTTCATTTTTAGTACTCTAAGTTCTTTTATCTTATGGTTAAAAGTAAAGTTTTCACCCACAGAGCTCCAGTAGCTCTCAGTGGTGTGTGTGTGTGTTAAGCTAACATTCTTCCAAGCAATATTACTGGTACCACATTCTTGTCTAAAACGTCCATTTACCATTTGGAAGGTTATAATCTCTGAAGAGGAAAATATTGGGTATAGGATTTTGAAGGTTTTCAAGGTAGCTGTTTATCTTGTTTATCTGTTGTGTGAGTTGCTCTGCTGTTACTAATAGTCTGTACTACCGTCCGGGCCAACTGAGTGTAAAAACGAAAGCCTGTAATTGTTTTCCCATAAAGGGGTAGGATTGCGGGTGCCCTTTTTTTTCCGTCTCATAAACATGCAAGATTTCAGGTACGCTTGCTACTTTTTACTTACACTTAGGTCACACAAACAAAAGCATATACAAGCATATTTATGTATTTATACACTTTCCCCCCCTTGGGTTTTTCCCTTCAAATTTTCCCTTTCTATTTTTTGTTGTTGTTTATTTCCTCTTATCTCCAGGGGGGAAGGGGAAACAAAAATTTTTCCCTCCGTAACCTTGCGTTTTGAAAAGGGGCGACAAAAATCCCGGGGGAAAGGGGGCTAAAAACCCCTTCCCCCGTATAAATTACTAAAAAAAAAAAAGGGAAAAAATTTTTTTTTTTTTTTTGGGCCACCCTGCCTTTGGGATACGGCCGTTTGTTAAAAAAAAAAAAATGAAGTTTAATTTCCCAGATATTTGTTCACTTATAAACCTTTAGACTTATCGTTTTGCCTTACATTCAGAGCTGAAAAACCCCTTTTTTTGGGTTTAGCGTTTGGGTTGGGTGGTTATAGGAAAAAAATAATTCCCCTTTTAAACACTGATACTTACAAACATTTTAACTCACACAACAGTGGGCCCTTGCAAAATTTCCCAAATTTTCTTAAGACTGAATTAAAAATTTTTTTTTCTTAAAAAGTTTCTCAAAAACCCTTCTTTCATCCCTTTTGTATATGTTTTTGTACATTTTTAAAGTAAAGCTTAAAATCTTTTTTTATAGAGAGGGGGTAAAGAACTAAATTTTTAAAAACGAAAAATTTTTTCCCTAAAATGAAAAACCGCCCCGTTTTGTAAAAAATTTTGGAACCCTGGTGGGGGGATATTTACACCTTTTTTTCCCTATTTGCATTTTTTCCATAAAGATAATTTTTTCTTTCTTTCAACACCCCGGCGTATCCCACCAAGGCGGGGGGGGCCCAAAAAAAGAAAAAAACAAAATTTCCTTTTTTTTAAATTTTAAAGTAATTTTTTAGGGAGAAGGGGGTTAAATTAGCCCTTGCTCCCCCCGGAGGATAATTTTTGGGTAAAAGTATTTAAAATATAAAACCAGCTTTTTTTCCAAACCTAGTTGCTGTCAGCCTAAAATTTATCGGGGTAAGCATCTCTTCCATACTATTACCGGGGAAGTTTCCCCTGGGGAGACCCCCGGGGGGCCCAACGCCCCCGCGGGCCCCATTCTGGGGACCGGGGGCCTCCTGGTGGATCAAGCCTGATCAACCAGGTGTTGCTGCTGGCTGCACCAAACCAAATACGGCCACCCCGGGGGTTTCCGGAACGACTTTAGGTGTTTTTCCCCAGTGCCAGTTTAAAAGACTGCCGGGGGTCTGTTGGTAATCCCCCTTATGTGTGCGGGGAGGCAGTTAAAACACTGGGGGCCCCGACACTTTTTGTTAATGGTCTCTTAACGTCTAGGACACCCCGGGGTTTTTCATTGGGGGGGATGGTGCTTTCGTCTCCCAAAGTCTTTTGCTTTCGTAGGGGGTTGATTTTCGGTGCAAGTTCTTACTAGCCCCCTCAAAGGTTTTTCCCCGGGTGAAATATAATCATTATTTTCCCCCCTCCGGGGTTCCCAGGGAAATTGGGAACAGGATTAAGAGGTACAAAAAAAAAAAAAAAAAAATTCTGTAGTCCCAGTTTAAAAATAAAGGTCTTTTTGTGTACACATTTCCCTTTCACCTGGCCCTGGGAAAACTTGGGGGTTTTTTAAATTTTCCCAAGGGGTGGTCGACAAAAAGGGAGGGCCCCAAACCTTTTACCCCATAAAAAAGAACAGAAAATAAAAACAAGGTGAGTTTTTTAAAAGCTTTTTTTTACCTTTTTTCATCAAAATTGTTTATTATTTTTATTTTTTACAATTTCCCGGAAAAGGGGAAATACAAATGCCCTTTACTCTAAAAAGGGGGGTTTTTTGGGTATTTGGGAGTTTGGGGGGGGATATGTTGGTATCTTTATACGTAGTATATGCTTTTAAGCTTTTTTTTTTCTGGGCACCCTGCAAAAAAAAGTGATTAAGGTGAGGAGGTGAAAGGGTTGAATGATGAGAAAATATTTTTTTTTGGGTCACCCTGCCTCAGTGGGGGACGGGGCCAAAAATTGAAAAAAAAAAAAAATCGTAACTAAGCCCTAAACCCACAAGAGGGCATACAACATTGACCCCAACTTGTTTTATTTTGTATCAGTTCAATAATTATATTAAAAGTTAACTCTTAAAAACCTTGTGTCAACACAAGAAAAAAAAAAAGAATTAAAGGGTTAGTTTAACCCGAAATTTTTTGGCATACTAGGCCTTCTTTGTAATTAAATTTTAAAAAATTTATAAGCCATAAATAAACATAGGGGGTAGGGGTTGGGAGACACAAACCCCCCAAAGGGGGTACTTTTTCCCTCCCTGCCAAAGCGTTTTAAAACAAAGCCTGTAAAATTTTTTTACAGATTTGGAGGTTTGCGGGGGGCTTTAGTTTTTCTATAAATAGCAAAATTTACGGGCATGTCTTGCTTAAATTCTACTTACACTTAGGTCACAAATACACATACATGTAAAAACTTTTTTTTTATACACACTCAAAACCCTTTAAGGGGTTTTTTTTGATTTTATCTTAAAGTTCTTTGGGCTTATTACTTTTCCCTTTTTTTCCTGGGGAAAATGGGAAAAAAGAATCTTTTCCTTTCCCTAAGCCAAGCGTGGGTTTTAAAAGGGCAAAAATAAAATGCCGGGGAAAATGGGCAAATAACCCCTTTTCCAGTAAAGATTACTAAAAAAAATAAGAAGAAGAAAAATTTTCAAAATGGGAAGTCTGAATGGTGTGGATGTTTGCAAATTATAAGAAAGAGATGATTGTGGGTGTTTTGAATGAGAAGAAACTGGGGTGTCCTGGTTTTAAATGAAAACAAAGCTGAAGGGGGTTTGGGGAAATTTCAATGGAGAGGAATAAATGGGTTTTGGTTTAGGGGGTTTTAAATAGAGTTAGAGCTAAAAGAAGGGGTAGCAATAAAGTTGAAGGTAAGCAAAGGCAGGGGAAAAAAGGGGGCTACAAATTTAAATTCAAGGATTATGTGGAGTAAAATAAAAAATTTTGGGTGTGAAAAAATGGGTTTAAATAAGCGTGTATTTCACCGGAGAAGAGAGAAAATGTAGAGGAGAGAGAGAGAGATTCTGGGAAATGTTTAGTGAATGCGTGGGGAGTTTTGAATCAAGTGTGAGAGTAATGGGGGTTGGGGGATTTCAGTGTTTAAAGTGGGTAAAAATGTTATAGAGGGAGTAGTAGGAAAATTTTGGGGATGCCAGGGTAAATGTAAATGGGGAGCCTTTAATTGAGCTATGTGTAGAAAGGAATTTGGTAATAAGTAATACATATTTTATGAAAAAGAGGATAAATAAATATACAAGGTATAGATGTAGCACTAATGAAAAGTAGTTTTTTTAGATTATGTATTGGTGGATAAAAGGTTGATGGTGTAGGCTCCAGGAGGGTACATGTTTATAGAGGGGCAACTGATATATTGGATCATTATTTAGTTGTAGCTACAGTTTAGAGTAAAGGTAGATGGGAAAAGAGGAAGGTGGCAAAACAATAAGAGGGAGGTGAAAGTGTATAAACTAAGGGAGGAGGAAGTTCGGGCGAGATTAAGCACTATTGGCAGAAAGGTGGGCTAGTGCAAAGATGAGTAGGGGGGGGTTGAAGAGGGTTGGAATAGTTTTTAAAAATGCAGTATTAGAATTGGGGCAGAATTTTGGGTGGTTATAGGAGGGTGGGGGCAGGAGGAAAGAGGATGATTGGTGGAATGATGAAGTAAAGGGTGTGATAAAAGAGAAAAAGGTAGCTTACAAAGGTTTTTTACAAAGCAGAAGTGTTGTAAGAAGACAGAGTATATGGAGAGTAAAAGAAAGGTGAAGAGAGTGGTGAGAGAGTGCAAAAGGAGAGCAGATGAAAGAGTGGGAGATGCACTGTCAAGAAATTTTAATGAAAATAAGAAAAAATTTTGGAGTGAGTTAAACAAGTTAAGAAAGCCTAGGGAAAGTATGGATTTGTCAGTTAAAACAGAGTA